TCTTCTGTTCTCTTTGCACTACGCTTGAATTCATCATCCAGGCCTTCTCTGCTTTAACATGCTGTCAACATCAACCAATAAACCTGGTCGCCTCTACATGCTGTATTGATCTATGATGTCTATGTCTATGGCTCAAGACGTCCTGGCTACCACGCCACAAGGCTCTCTTTAAATCCAGCTGACCTTTCGAGTCAGTAGACGGAAAGAGTCCAAAGGTTACGTTATCTGACCTGAGAGTCAGCAGCTGCAAATAAAAACTGAGCGAATGTTGGTCTCCTGTTAAATACGATCAAGTGGATCTCTTGTCTCGCCATCAAATTAGTCCAGAGCCACTGAAGTTAAGTGACAGTGGCTTGAATATTTTTGCAAACATGAAGTGGAGATGAAACAGCAGTTTGTGGAGAGGACTGGCTAGTCTCAAAATCATCTTTGAAGAAGGGTTACTTTTTCAACAACTTGATTTTGTATTATGTTGCTCAGTAATGGACCAGAGTCCATGTCTGACAACTTTTCTTTTTAAGATTATGTCTTTATGGCATTTAGCTGGTGCATACTCCATCAAGGCAGGATTAAACTACAGCCTAAAGTAGTTAAGTGGATTAAAATTTGATGAGATATTTTTTAAGTCAGATAAAGGTAGAGAGAAAAAAACAGACAGGTTAGGCAGGTTCTGCTCTCGAGTCCAGACTTAACCAACCAGAGTGCTGATAAAACTTGAGCAATAACACAGAGACAGAATGTTCTTACCTTCTCTTTTATGGGCTTTTATGGATCACTCAATATTAAAAAAACGTGCTGCAGAAAAAAACGTACTGCAGAATCTCAGGCACTACTTGACTTGACTGTTACTCTGAGTGACTTCATATTGTGTGTTTAAACTCAGGACTCTTAAAAAGGCCAGGTCAGGGATGAACCAGACCACCTGCTGTTTAAGTTAATTAATTAATAGTTTAATGTGATATTAATTTCCGATTTATTAATTTCCATTGCCTTTTTTTAATGAAGCAAATAGTCCCTTGGGGATAGTACAGATATCCTCGATCCTCTCAGTTTCCTTTGTTTTTATTTCAACTCTGTTTTTAGTTAGCAAATGCAAGGCTACAATTAACATATTAACAGCAGCAGTTATGAAAACAATCTTATATCAATATAAAACAACATGGTGAGCAACGGACTCTCTAACATTTCCATATTTGGCTGTAGAAGGCCAGAGTCTTCATCTAATCACCCAAAAATAAATATGTTGGCTCACTCAAATTTTCCAGCACTGTGACATAATTGGCACTCCTGAAGCCACTGAACACCCTTCATGAGTTGTTGGTGATGTGAGACACGGTGAATGGGCGATGAGTGCGAGGTAGATGACCGTGCATTACCAGATTGTCTGCATAGAATTAAAAGAGCAGCACACACTGATCACACTCTCATCATAGAAATGTCATCATTAACTATCTTAGTTAAGGGTAATACAACATGTACACATGCATGTAAACTGACGTGAGTCCACATTTTGCTTCATGTCCTCACTGTGTGTGTGTGTGTATGTCTGTGTTCCTGCAAAGAGGATGATGATGGATGGGAAGACAACATTATACAAACACATGTCCAAAAGCGAACTCTCTTCAGCACCCTCGTTTATACATGTTTACTTTTGTTTGAGTCTCTCTGTCCTCTCTCCTCGTGTTATGTAACAATCCCTGCATTGCACTTGTGAATGAAGCTTCTGCTGACTCTGAGTACTACCTGCTTTCTGCCCTGCGGTGTGTTTCAGGGGCCGCTGACAGGAGCATGGGGAATGTAATATAAAACAAGCACTGTGCATGTGGTAATACACAAAAATCACAAATGCTTACTAGTAGCACAAATCACCTGTACTTGACCGTGACCGTATTCTCAGGTTGTAAAAGTGGACAGAAGTGCTTTCTCAGCTGTCTCCGCTTAAGCCTCTTTCATGCTCTCTTGCTGAACTTTTTCTGTTGCACAAGATCTTCCAAAGCCTGTCATGCCTGCATACCAAGCTTTATCATTAATGTAAACGATGCAGGCATGACAGTTTGTTATGAGTGGTACAAATGTGACGCAATACTACAAATCAATTAGAACTAGTCTCACAGGTCTCTATGGTGAGTTAAATCCCTGAAATCAGCTCCCATGCTTTTCAAATTAGGCTACCTGCCAGCAAGTTATTGATAATCTGACAGACGTCACTGCTGGTTGATTGGTTGATGTCATTACACCCTCACTGCCAAGATACCCCTAATGAGGCATGTTTATTACATTCAGTCCGGTACACTGTGAGCAAACAACATGTACAACACATGGACACATGGCATAACCTTATAGTGTGTTTTCTCCACAAAATGCTAAATAGCCTATTATATCACAAAGATAACAAAGAGGCCAAAACAGGAATCATGGGACGTCACCCAGGGCAGCATGATGAGTACGTTACTTTTGCAGCTTTTGTCCTTTCTCTTTTACCCTCAGCACCAGAACAACTGTCTGGATTTTGTCTTTTAACCAAAGATGATTGTTTGACGCCAGGCGTTTCATGGGGATCTGGGTCACTCTATTGTGGTCTCAGATTGAATTGCATGTTCTATTAAAAGGTCTGGCTTTCAGTATTCACAGAAACTGTATACCCATCCATAGCTGAGAGAATAATAGGAGGTGTTTCTTACATTAATGACAAATAAAAGGACGAGTGAAAAGAAAGAAACGATGGCATTATCATGTTCCGGAAAATCACACCCATTTCATTGAATTTAGGGAGTGACATATTCCTAGGAAATTGTTGTTGTCATAATAGATGTGAATGGATCATCATTGAAAGAATGAACATAAACACAATCTCCTTTCTTTATATTTGATGGCGTAACGTAATGATGTAAAAGGAAAAGTCTCTATAACGACAAGGCTGGGGAAGATGTAAAAAGGGAGATCAGTGACAGCTCCTAAAATAGCACATGAGCAATGAGAGTCTGGGAGTTTTCATCCTCCTGTGCTTGATGTCTTTCCTCCTTTAGATCATGTTAAGACGGTGCTTGTTGACACAAAGTAGGAAGTGCAGACTCATCATCAGAGGATTCAAACATACAGACTGTAAATGAATGTGAATCAGCTGTTGTCTCCTCCCTTAGCCGTGTCATTCTTTCTGTGCACAGACAGATAGAGAGGGTACAGAAGCCAGAAGAGACGAAGGCTTTCCTCAGGCCTGGTTTCTCTTTTTGGTCATCAAGCTGTTCTTTTGACCTCTTCCAGCTAGAAGAGGTGGGCCTACATTAGATAGATTAAATACTTGTGCTTTATATGAATCCTATTAAACCCTAAGAAAGGTTCATCCTTGACCTTGGAAATACAAGTTTGAAAACTCAAGACGTAGTCAGGCATTTCTACAGTGGTGATTCTAGATTCTGTTGGGCCCCAGGCAAAAGTCTATTGGGGGGCCCTCCAACCAGTGTTCATCACCGATATGTCTGCCAGTGTCCCGACGTTTAGTCCTCTTCCCTTTTTTCCTCCCCTATGAATAACTCTTCATTTTTGCCTTGCTTGTTGACAAGCAGTGCCTCTGCATCTCTGAAAACATGTTCTTCTTAAAGGGAAATATTGAAACATAAAGCGGTTATATGAAAATCTCATCCAACTCTTGGCAAAGAACTAACCTGTAGCGTTGGATAAGTCTGCAGTTAATTACATAACGACCGTATGCTATAAAATATGCCATGTGCACCAGGTTCCCTCGTGGTCAGCAGTTACTTCAGATTTGTATCAGTGGGACTGAGCAAAGGGCTGCAAACCGTAATGATTTCTTGCAATGCCTTATTCTCATGTAGCTTCAAAAACACGATTAATAAAGATGACATAACACAGCCATGGGCAATGCAGTTTACTCTAATGGGTGTATAATGGAAATACCTCAGAGCTGTAATGTCGCTGGTAAAGCATAAAAATTAATTGCTTGTGTCCTAACTGCTTTCTTAGAGAGAGGTAAACTAAGAAACAGGCAAGTGTGTTGTTTAATGGCGTTATTTGCTTTCCTTTTCTCATCACAGCAATGTGTTCTTAAAATCCCAGAGGAAAAACTCAGACTGATGAATAGAGGATGGGTCTCCAAAGTGATGTTATAATTTTACAGAAAACAGAGAAGACCCCAAACTAAACACGTATCGCTTCCTCCCCCACACAGGTGGAGAGAAAAAACTGAAAAAACAGGGAAAAGAATAATTCTGCACCTTCATCAACACCAATTCGCTCTCTTCCTCGAGTGGGCGAGCTAGATCAATAAGTTTTACATTTTCCAGTGCTTCAAATCTCTAAGGTAGTTCCTAAATTAAAAAACTTGTGTGAGAGTATTTCTTCTCTTCTCTTGTTCTTCTCTCTTTAGTCACATACCCATTTCCCCTGCAGGAGTATTCATGGAGCCGTTAGCCTGTGGGTATTAAAGAGAAAACACTCTCTTTCCTGTTCTTTGAGTTAAAATGTCTTCAAGTAGCAAACTCGTCTCCTCAGAATCAGAAATACTTTATTAAATCTCGGGGGTATATTTTGGCCCCTGCATTCCTCCGTCTCTTAAGTGTCTTTTTTAGTGCAAATCTCTTGGGCAGTAAAAGTAACAGCTTCTTATACAACCACTAACCAAGTTCAGAGGTCGGACAAGTGTTGGTCAAACGCCAAAGGCCGTGGCAAGGGTCGAGTAGACGCTGGATTCCAGGAGATACAAAGCTCCAGCCAAAGTTTAAAGAAAAAAGTGTACCCACACTGTTAACCCTCCTCAGTCTTCACATAGCTAGTCAAAGATGTGATTGACAGAATATAAACTGTAAAGTGAACCAGATTCAAACAAGACTGAAGACCTCATCAAGATCAACTTTTACAGAATTAGGAATATTCTCAGTTAATGTCCCCTCTATATTTCTGACATTATTCATTATTCACCCCATAGTAATCTGGCTCTTTGACAGGATATGAACAGTTAAACATAGAGTGAGCCAAATGTCAAATATCTTTGAAATCATTTATTAACAATGTTACACTTCACTCAGCAGCAGTACCTCAGCTGAGTTGCTTGGTCTCTACAGGAACAAAAATCAAAATATACATTCAGAAACAACTCCAGAGGGTGCTTAAAAAAAATTAATTTAGTAAAACACTTATGTATATGTTCATATACAAAGATATAAAAAAAAACAGATATACAGTAAAAATCACATACAGTATCAAACATCTATTAGAAAATGTTCTATTTAAAAAACAGTTTTTAGTGCAAAAGCATTTCATGATATAAAAATACTGTGCTGATCTGATATGAGGGACAGTGGGGGCGTGCGTGAGGCGAACAGGTTAGAGGTGTGTGTCTGCTATGGGGATCCGCCTCAGCTCCACTATCTGTGAGTTTGTGATGCTGCCTCCGTCGTGGCTTCCAGGGATGGACTCGTTATCGCTCACATTAAGGCCGGTCCCTAAAAAACAGACAGAAATGAACACTGCAGCCCAAAAACATTTTCATATTCTCTCAAATAACTTTTTACGATGTGAGTGGATTTATTCTTCATATCATTATACTCACAGTAGTTTCATTATTGAAGTACAACAAATCCACACAACATTTAAATCGGTAGATATCAGCCCTTTTAGTGCCACAAAGTATTACATAACCAAAACTATAAGTTACAATCTGTGTTATCACACATCTCTTTGTACAGTATCTGGTCATCATTCTTATAAACGAGGCAGACTCACTCTCTGCGATGTAACAGTGGGCAATAAAGTGCCCTACCGAGGTCAAAGAACAGTGTTTTACAGTCTGTGTAGTAAACACATGAGTAGTCATTCTAAAGCACTACAGCTTCGGTATTTCAACTACAGCAAACTTATAACCTGCACAGAGTTCACGATGTGATGGAGAGATACTGTTTGTTTGTTTGTTTGTTTGCAGGATATATCTTTAAATGTTCCAGAGTTTAACATGTCGACTATCAATCACTTTTTCACTCTGTACATGGCCCATAGCATGGAGATTAATAACAACTGATGTATTTGGATGCAAATTCAAACTCGTACTTTTGCATGTTTATATGGTAATTTGTACCTTTCTGCTTGTAGAAGATGTTGTATTGATATGACTTGAGTACCTATGATACACAGTTCTTATTGATAAACAATAAACACCGGTCTTTAACTCATAAAAGAAGGTGACGTATGACTCCCCATGACATAACCAGAGGAGCCTCCAGGCCCACGATGCTTCAGGTAAGATAAGAAAAGACTACACTAAAACAGTAAAAGACACAAGTTAATGATCAGCTCTGAGTTGTACTTCGTAGAGCACTTGTGCCAAAAGTACGTCTGTGTGTGTGTGTATATGTATGTGTGTGTGTGTATGTGTGTGTGTGTGTGTGTGTTATGAGTTAATAGTTCACCATTAAATGAAGTGTGAAGACCTTCATTACAGCACTACTCCCTGACCCTCATCAGGTGGTGTCCTGTTCTTTTTCTGAATGATCTTTACTGCTCACTGACTGCTTGAGCTCACAGCAGGTTATAAATTCGGTGTGACGCATATGGAGAAAGAAAAAGTCAGAGGTCAGGTCACTTTCACGAGGGAAAGTGTGAAAATGAAGAGTCTTTCCATGAGCAGAGGATTAAAATCCATCTTTATCAGAATATTTCTACAAACAAAAGATCGAATGTCCCCCAGACAGTTTTATTTTCCCGAGGTGATGCAAGAGAGCTACAAGTAGCTGACTGATTCTTCTTCATTAAACCTCACAGATTCGCCTCTGTGCTGCTCTGAATAATATGAGTGATTACTTCATCCTGCTGAGTCTGCAGACAGATAAATTCTCTGACTTGTTTGCTGTGGCCTCTGGGCTATTTAAGGTTGAACACACCAGCAGCTCTGGACAGCAGGGTGAGGTCAGGAGAAGAGAAGATCAGCGACATAGATGAGCAGTGCTGCACAACGACACACAAACAAACACAGACACACACAAGCACACACACACACATCTCGGAGATTCATGCTGTCAACGCACAATCAATAAGAGGATAAGATGCTATCTCTGTCTAATATATTAACTCAGAGTAACACAATCCTCACAGACTAAGCCACAATCATTAACACCCGTAAGCTCCTAAGAACTCACACCTGCTAGGACAGGGTTTTAATTTGGCTGTCTCCATGGTAACACGTTTTGTTTTTCTAGGATGCATGCTAGCGAGTGCCTCTGCATATAAGCTTACACTGCACTAAGGTAACAGACTTTGTGAGAGTCCAACCAAGTGAAGCTGTATTGTTAGATGAAGCCTTTCAAAGGCTGGCATTAAACAATAATTGTTAATTATCTTAAAGCTGGGTTAAAAAAGGTTTTCAATAGTGAGCTGTCAATCAACAGGAAAAACACACTACTGGTGGGGACTAACAATGATCTGCAAATAACCCCAGAGTAATAATCAAATCCAGGGACAAACAGCAGACAGAGAGACACTTCATCATGAATCCAAAGTATCTCCGTTTTAAAAAGAAAACGCTTCTTTATTTTTGAAGTCATGTTGTTTGCTCATACATTGTCTCCACTCATTCTCCTGTCACAAGGCATGCTGAAGGCTGAAAATTCGATATTCATATTTTCACACAGTGCAAGCCTACTGACTATATACACTGTAGTTTCTAAATGTGGGGGTACAGCTCCTGTTGGCTGTTGTCCAGCTCAGTGTGATTCTTCTTCAGACTCTGTGGAGCAATTACTCATTGATTTAAGAGAGTGAGACTGGAGGAGAGGATGAACGTGTGTGTGTGTGTGTGTGTGTGTGTGTGTGTGTGTGTGTGTGTGTGTGTGTGTGTGCGTGTGTGTTTGATGTATCAGTAAGCAGTTTGGGTGCTCAGCTCATAAAAAATTGATGGAAATAGAAGAATGGTTTCCATGGCAGCAGAGTAGTACATGTAAGCAGAGGAATGACTAAGCAGGCCTGATGCTAATGGATGCTATAGATACTGCAGATATGTGCACAATGAAATACACTTTTTCTTGGTCTTGAACTTTTATAAACTCTCATTTCTATTGTTTTGGGGTTAAAGGCCTAGTTAAAACGTTTTTAAGCATGCTGTTTTTTCCAGTCAATATTAAAAAAGTTTTCTGGCCAACAAACTGTTTTCCAAATTGTGGTGACCTTTTGCAAAGTAAAAAAAAAAAAAAAAACCATGGAAAAGTGCTGTGTTTAACAATGAAAGCACTGTAAGGGAAAAATGTTAAGGAAGGGAGAAAATTAACAATGACATATCTGAAAACTCACAAAGATGTGAAAACACTACTGATACCAGCATAGTGGAGGAAACTCAATATTATTTTGTGCTCCTGAATTTGAGGGGAAACAATAGCTGGATATAACATGAATCATTGGTGGTTAATTTGTTTTTTTGGTCAGATAGGGTAACGACAACACTGAGCCTGTTTTAGGGTGTAATGGTGCTCAAAAACATGCATTTGTGAAACAAAATAATTCAGTGTGAGGGACATGTATTGTGCTAACCCACATAAACAGAGTGAATGTTTGAGGTACAGTACATCTTATGTCGGTTAGATTCTCACCGGTTTTTAAGGCAAATATGAGGTCATCAAACTCCTGCAACTCCTCGTCTGCTGTCACCAAGTTGGTGTTGATGAAGCCCCCCTCGGTGGTGTACGTCCCCATCACAGGACTGGGTTTAAACACGCTGCTGGGCTGACTGCTGGGCCGCAGCGACGCTCGCTCCCAGTCTGCTGACACCTGTTACACACAGATACACTGCTGTATGAGCACATGAACACCACACGCAGGCTGATAATGTTCAGTGGTGAACTTCGATTGAACCTTGATTTCATGTTTTAATCATGAAGGATCACATGCTGGGCAACATTTGGGATTAAAAAAATCCTTTGAAACCAATCAAACCTTAAAAATGCAGCAGAAGCAAGTTCCTGAATTTTGATGTTTAGATCTTTAAGATGTGGTTTCAAAAATCTAGTTACTGAGACATGTTATACTGTTAATACATCAAAACCAGCTTCATTGGCCTGTTTGTAGTTGTTAAGCTGCATATAGCAGAGCTCAAATTCTTAGTGATTAAGATTCATACAATGCCCAAACACATTAACTTCACATTTTGCAGGGAGAAGTCAATCGACCATTCTCATAATCAATACACAGGCACACACGGACAAACACATGCTTAATTCAGAGAGCTGCTTTGCTGTCAGCCCTCTAATCATGTCTGTGAAGAGTTGGGGTCAAACACAGTGCATGTTGTCCAAGCACCCCAAAGGGTTAAGGCAGAGAGGTGGGGGTCACAGGGGGTTCATGGGGTGAGAGTGGGGTCAGTGGGCTTTGGCCTTCATACTGATTCAACCAAAGAAAAAAGAAGTGGAAACATTCTACCAGCACAGTTATTCAAATGTCAGCCTCTAATTCAGAGTCTAAATTTAGTGTTTGAGAGAGAAAAACTTCAAAACATGCATCCAAACAGAACACTTGGGCAAAATGAGAGAATGGCAGATCTCTGTTTTTTTTGTGTCTCTTATTTTGTCCACAAAAGAATCTGTAACATTTTGTCTTCACTATGTTGATTTATTATGCATTCCTCATCTGTCCTTTTACATGCATGAATGAGCATTCGTTGTAAGTCTGGTTGTTGTGCTTATGAGGCTGTTTAGGTGAATTATTGGTGAGTTCCATTTGAACTCGGAAATCAGAAAATTCCAAGTTGCCAGTGGGATAGGTCATCAGGAACGCCCCCTGAAGTCAGAACAACGACTTGGAAACTCAGAGGAACTTCAGTACCCAGAGCTCAAAATCCAACATGGCTGCCCTGTGCATCAACAGTAAAGTTAAGCTGTACATTATCGTGTTTATCACAAGGTGCAACACCAATGTTGAAGATTGAAGCTAATAAGAAATTAAAATGTTTACAGCCTGTTTCAAAAAAAAATTAATTGGTTTGATCAGCTCATGTCTTAATTGTCACACACTTTACAAGGGGTGTGAACTTTTAGATTTTAGAAGGATAAATGGCCTTTCAGATAGGACGCGGTGGGCACTGAGCGCCGCTGTCTAGCCCATTCATTGTGTATTGTGTTGCTCCTCGCCACTCCTTGCCACTGAGTTGAGCGACTTGAGCCACTCAGTTGTAACTCAGTCTTGTTTTTGTTCAATTAAACCAATCAAACCGTTAGTATCAAGTTCTAACAAGTGCAAGTTCTACCTGTAGACATGTTGTCATGATACTTTCGCAAAAAAAACGATCAAGTAGTGTTATCGCCTGGTATAAGCTAACACAACAAAGGTACTCCTGAAGCCATCCATGTTGCTCGTCCAACTTGTTTCCAACTTGTTGCAAACCTCTGATCTTGTGGCGTTATTGAAAGGGGGCTGGGAGTGGTGGGTAGGGGGGGATAGCTGACTCAGACCTTTTTCATATCCACTTTAACAAACTGATCTTCCCATTCTTCTCTCACTTCCACCCCCTTCAACCTATATACTCCATAAATCGACACTCATCTCGGCACTCATAGCGCTCTCTATCTGCGCTCTGCTTTTTCTATCTGCGCGGTAGTCAAATCTCAGAGAGGCTAGAGTGTGCTCTCATGGATAAAAAGAGATTACAGGATTTCTCCATGTGGAGAGAGGATGAAAAAAAGAGGAAAGGAGGAGTTCCCATAAGTGATGGAGAAGTTAAACCTGCCCCCTTTTCCTTCTCCTTCTTACCAGCTCAGACCTTATAGGGTATTCTCCAGAGACAAGGTGGCTCATGAGAGCATGCGTATGTCTGCAGCATGTGTGTGTCTGTACAGTGTGTTTCAGTGGGTGTGTACATGTGATGTGCAAATATGACAGAAAGGTCAAAAGATTAGATGATGTGGGTGTTTGTGGGAGTAATGCAGGCTGACCATTTACACATGTTTTACACAGGTTTTACATAATGAGAATCATCCTGAAGCAGACAGGCCGAGACGGTGAAAATGTTTAAGTGAATGAGTATTGAGTGTTCTGAGCAACATGAGAAAAGTATGAGGGAGAAACGAGGACTTTGCAAACAGAGCCATGGGAATGAGGGCATGGGAAAAAGAGAAGGCAGAATAGAGGAAAGATAGAGAATGAAAATGACAGTTTTATGGTAAATTCCAGTTATGTATATAAATACACAAAGTCCAACTTTCATAGTGTTACTACTATACTTACTACATACTGTAAGTTACCATCAGTTAGTGAGATATGCAGGACCATCTCGCCAATGGGCAACAGAAAATTTGAATAATGTAAGTGAATTGAACATTTTTAGAAGAGGAACAAAACTCAGTGCACCTACAGTTCAGTTACAACACCTTACAGGGGAATTGCACATCAAAACTGCATTTGCTCACAACTCTGGAAGGTTAAAGCTAAACCAGGAAGTGAAGAGTCCTCTGGCTGCTCGGCCCACAGCACAGAATTTGGAGAACAAAATGTTTTCATAACAAACAGAAGTAATGGCCATATGCACATGCAGAACACCCAGACTATTAAAATGCAATTTCCCAGTTATGACATCAACAGGTTAAAGTTAGTGTGGAAATGTCATATGATGTAATCAAAGGAAAATGTTAATCATTGATGCTAAGAAGTATTGAACATTTTGGCGATAAATATTGTGAATCTGCTCAATCATAACATCTGTAATATGTCTACATTTGATTATCACTATTTCTGTTTTTGTGTTTATCTGCTGACGGCAGATTAAGCACATGCTGGCTTTGTGTACGTGTGTGTGTGTGTGTGTGTGTGTGTGCGCGCGCGGTTGTGTATACCTCCTCCATTGCACTGATGAGGTTCTGAGTTGACTTGCTGATGTCTCCTCCTACAGTAGTGGGTCCTCCTCCCTGGTAGGTAGAATCAGGACTGTCATGGCCGCTCATTTCGACTGTGTAACTTGCTTTAGTGGGCCAACACAGCTGGTTGTGCATGATGAAGTACACTGCAAACACATATAGGCCCTGTGGGGACAGAGAGACACATCAGATGTAAGAAAGTTCTTAATTCTCCACGGCTCTGATCCTTCATCTTTTGCAGAGCTCCTCAGTTCCATTAATAATTGATGAAAAGCTGCTGGCTTCATGGCTCAGTTTTGATTTCAACTCTGTTGCTTCAGCTGTCATGGTTGCTTGTAATGCCCTGTGAAATAGATACTTACGATATAACTGTACATGCTTTACATTTTAAGACTAACAACTTGTCTAACAGTAATCAAGCAATGCATAGCAATCGCACTGTAAGTTTCTGTTCATTATTAGCAGCAGTCTCTCTCTCCAGCATTAAGAATGGAGCATTACTTCATCATTGGGTGATGACATCATTGGCACCCTGGTATTTCTGCTTCCTCCACTTCCCCGTCATTACCAAATCCTCTTGGTCAACAGCACCAGGCCGCGAATTACCCCAAAACACCAGAGTGTGAAATACCACAGGGCCGTCATGTAATTCACAACACCCATCAGCCGGGCGATGACGGCAGACAAAGAAGGAATGAGTGCAAATCACAGTGTGTGAATGTGAGGGCAAACAGATGCAGGCAGACACAGACACCCATTCTGACAGATAAAAAGACTGTTTGTATGTCTCTCATTTAAAAATACCAAAATATGTTTCTGTACTCAAAGACAGAAAAAGAAAGATGTCTTATAATTTTAAAAGCAACTGATGTAAAATGAGATGGGGCTGGGACTTTAGATTAGTTAACTGCTGATTATGTCAACTGGATTTCTCTGGTTGCCTTGATTGTTGAAAATATGTGTTCAACAAAGACACAATTGTAATTATGTTTATTTAGAAAATGCTTTGTTTTCATACATATTCAGATTATTAAGATACATTTTACCAAACCAAATGCTTTAATGCCTAACAGAGCCTAAGAAACTGCAGATAAGGCCGCTGAAATGGCTGTTAACGTGCACCAGACTGTAAACCTCCTTTTTATAGGAAGGCCATCATCATTTCCCATGTAACCAAGGAACACTGACATAGAAAAGGACTTAATAACAGTGCTGATGGTTGCAATCAGCATTATGAGAAAGAAAACAGGAACCGTAGCTGGAAACTGTGTTTATAGGTGCACAGTAAAACAAGAACATCCAGCTTTTAAGAAAGAAAAAAAAGAGGCTACAAAAATGAAGAGATGGAAAAACTCACAAGCTTTAACACCTGGTGTTTCCTAAAGAGCAAACTGTTTGTGAGTGCTATGAATCAAAACACTGTCCATTAATGTTCCTGTGGACATGTCAATGAGCTCCACAAAGAGACATTTATGCCATGTCTTTTGAGAAACGGGACATTTCAGGGTTAGAAGCACGGGAGATTGATTGTACTTTAATTTGTAATTTTATTTGCCTGAAATAAAAGAAGGAAAAACCTCTTCTCTGAATGATAATAGAAACAATGAACAAAAGCACCCAGGTGTGTATTTATGTGTGTGGGTGGCGGCTCCATCACAACTGCGCTGTGGGTGATTAGCGCAGATCATTAGCAGGCTATGCAGCCGGAGGAACAGGCTTTACTACCAAAGGCCTGTTATGTAAGTGTTCAGAGGAAAGGCCACGTCTTTAGATATGGAGAGTACAGAACTAAGGAGAGGAGAAAGGACACAGGAGGTGGTGGGCAGGGGTGTAACCTTGGATCAAGAGAAAGTAAAGAGGGATGGAAGAGAAATGAAAGAGGATAAAACTGTGTAAAATGAAATCAGAAAAAAGTGGAGAGAGGAGAAAAACAAAAAGGAAAGCTCTACAGAAAAATAAAGAGAACTCAAAGGGAAAAAAACAAAGTTTTCTGAACTGACTCAGTTGAAAAAATACGGTTAATGTGCTATTGTTATTTCTTTAATTGAATTAAAGATGCTGCATCCCCTTCAATCCTAACATGAAAGTGATTTGTGATGTGTGGAGATCATTGTCTGTGCTCATAAAAGCAACAGATCTGTTTCCCCTAAATCTTTCCGGCCCTGTTAGAGTGGATTGCATGTGTGAGTGGACATGTGGGGCTCTGCTATTCTTTTCCATAATAACACACAGATATCCTGTGTGCTATTTTTAGGCGAGTACAAAGGTTCAATGGGTAAGAGGGGGTGAAATTGGATTGTAATGCATGGGATGTTTCTGACTGTCACAGAACAACGAGGGCGGTTCACTGACATAGAGGGCGATGCAGAAGGAGATAATAAGGGATGGCGCTTTGGTGATTTGATTATTGTCTTAATATTCAGCCTGATGTGGCACAGATGTGGAGCCAGAGTAAAGGGGAGTAAATGGAGAATAATGGACGCATGGGATCCTAAGACAAAACGGTTAAACATGCTTTCTTTCAGAGTTTGGTTTTAATTGAATACTCTGCTGGGGAGCAAAGGTTACTTTCAACAAACACAGTGCTCCTTAACCTAAAGAGTAATCTGAGCTCTACAACACTAACAGAACCGTGCACAGCTGTAACATCTGCAGCTGTTTAACAGTGTTCAGTAATTAGCTGTTTGGAGGTGTGCCACAAAACCACATCAACAACAATGCCAAGGTAAACATGGAAAAATCCCATAATGGAAAATTCACAGCATGAACGAAACAACAACAACCGCTCTGCGCAACTTTGCAGCCATGACTTTGTACAAAGACTTTCCACCTCAAGGCAATGAAACGAAATAGAAGATTATAGTATTTAGGATCTGGATAAAGGATGAGCTAGCTAGTTTAAGTAAGCAGACAGTGGCACAATTGCAACAGGTGGTTATGCAGCGCCATTTCTTGTACAATATGGCAGTAAAAGATTTTTTTATTTAACCTTTTTCACATTAAGAACACAGATTCTAAAATGACGTGAAAATAAAGTGAAACTCAGGACAAGTTATCAAGCCACTGCAGAATAGGAAAAAAGCCAAACTGGAGAGCAAGGGTACATTTACACCTGGACGTGACAACCACTAAAACGTTTGGTATTTTTGTGCAACAACCCTTATAGAATTCATGCAGGCATAAGACAGACATGAACTTCTTTCAGATATCTTCAAAAAGTCTGCACTTGTTATGAATCCTGACAATCTCATTTTTGTTCCAGGTGTGCAGAGCGTTTGATGATAAGTACATTTTCAGTCTCATTGACCCAGATCCCTTCTGATTTTATTAAATTGTCATATATTCCCTGATGGAAGTCCCACAACAAAACAACATGTCAACCTCTCCTCCTGCACATGTCTCCCCTCTTCACACCAAAATAAATTCTGCGTGCTCCATAAAACGTGCGCTCACACGAACAAATCTAATTGCAACCATGCTTGGTTCATGGCAACAGCATCTTCATCTTTCCTTAGCAGCACTTTGTGAAATCTGGGTCAGGTCCTTGTCCTTCAGTTTCACTCTAATGAATACTTCTTTATTCCTATGGCAGACCCCGACCACAGCTCAGAGCCGCTCTCATTTAACTCTGAGCTGTGAGGCTGAAGCTGAAGCTGGGTCTGAAAATCAATGCCATAGCTCTTTTTTTTAAAAGTATAGTTTTCTTTTAGAGAATACTATGTATGAAAGGTTGGCTGTGAGCTTGTCCTGCTCAAGGCCAAGGGTGGAGTAAATGCAATGGGAGGCAATATATTAGGCAGGCATGAAGTCCTTTAATGTTATCTTTCTCCCCTCTTTGTGAAATAAGTAGTCCATTGCCATAAAGCCAGCAGCAGGAGAGCAGTGTTTTTCCTGGTACTTCTTTTAAGATAGACATCAGAGGATTTGCAGCAAAGAACTGTGAGGCCTTTGGCGATTAACTATAAACAAGAACACATTAAATTCATCAAAATTAAAGGCAGGTGTGCAGAACAAACTTAGGAAAAAAATGACTTTACAGAGCACCAACAAACTATTGGTCAGAGGAAGAACCTGACCACATGATGTCACAGAGTGGGACAAACTCTATTGGAGCTCATGAACAAGTGCTAAGTGCAACATCGAGCGTTTGCATTGACATCACTTCTCTTCATTAGTCACAGTACCAACAGGAGAAGTTTACTTTGGTGCAACACTGTCGTCTTTTACATGCTGATGCCACATATCACCACAGGCTACTACAGACCTCTAATGGCACACTTTACGGGCTGATGGTGTCTCTCTCTAGACTAGTAATGTAAAGAAAGGAACCTATTATATCAAAAGGTTTCCTGGATAACTCGGCATGAATGACACAATGAAGTCTCACAGGATAAAGTCCGTTTCCTCTACTGTTGAGTAAACACTGTTTAAAGAAGAGTGTAATCAGTCCGGCTTCTTTCATCTAACACATAACTAGATGGTCACTATAAATAATAAACATTGATATTTTCTAAAGCTTGCAAATTACCAATAGATCATCAAGAAAATGAAAATGAAGGTTACTTGTTTATATGACTTTAGACAGCAAAGGTTTAACCGTAGACTTTGTCAGGGAGACAGTTCAAAGACAAAAGACCTGCCATGTGAAAACAGAAGTAGATATAATACTAACAGGACAGATTATGGTTGCCATTACTAATAATAATATGTTACATTAATAAAGGAACAAACTACAGAAAATCCAGTTAGTTATCAGGATGCGTAATTGTGTCATCTATGTCCAAAAAATGAGTCCTTAATAAACTGCATTACAGATCTACAGAGAAGGGAAATGTATCATCTTTACAAGAAGTGAAACCATCTTCTAATCTTTGATAGTGTCTGTTATGGAACGTTTTATGGTTACGGTGGAGAGCGGTGGAAATGTCTTGGGGTTTCCAGCAGTAAGCAAATATTTTGTGATTATGTTATCTTGTGAATCATTAACACATGTTCTTTATCTCCTCTGATACTTTGAAGGAAGAGTTGGAATAAAGTCGGAACAGCAATGAAGAGAGTCGCAAAAGAACAATCGAAAACAAAGAGAAAGAGAGAGAGAGAGAGAGAGAGCGAGGGACATGATGTCCGGGAGAGGCTTCAGTGTGATGTGACACAAAGGTAACCCTGCCTCTCTCTCTCCACACCTGAAGGTCTTCTCGTTCTGCCCCACCAACACATCAAAGCTGGGCTTCAAAGAGGGGTGAAGTAGCCTTCATCACACTCTCCCTCTCTGTCTCTCTCTCCTTATGTCAACAAAACATCAACAAACACACACTCACACCCATCCAGTTGTGGCAACCCTCTGAAAGTCCCTTGGTTTATGAAGAACAAACACATTGTGCAAATATCACAGAGAAGAAAAAATATATGCTAATCAAAAAGTACAAATCCTCATATGATTATTGGCCCTTTAGCATCCCCACATCTCATATGTGATATACATATCATTTGTAGGGTCATTATTTGGAACTACTCAAGTAATATTGGGAGCTGTATGGAAAACTAAGGACGTGTATATTCCAATGATGTCAACACAAGTCAAACCTAAAAGAAAGTTTGGTAAAATCAAAAAATAACACCAACAAAGCTTGAGGGTGCATATAAAAAAAAGAGATTCTGTACAATTAACAAGGGTCTGCAGTAGTAGATACAGTGGTCGCTGTTGATTGTGTGAATTAAAATGTTTAAATGAGTGCAATGTGCAAACATTATGTAGACAAGTAGACATACATGTAAACAAACAAACAGATATGAAAGTCTATGAGCTCACCAGAAAGCAGTTAAAGATGACGTAGAGGATGAGCATCCACAGGTACCTGTAGCCCAAATGGAGTCCTGCCCACAACCACACCAGGGAGATGAGCAGGAACAGGTAGAGGACCAGCGGCACCTCTGGAAAAATAAACAAACACAAAGAAAGAGTCAAAACAACATCTGCACAAGATAACATACCATCAACTACACAACAGACATGAGTATTTGTCTGAAGACAACCCTAAATCCAGTTGATAAGCTTTTATAGCATTATAGTATCCTAAATGAGTAAAACCTTATCATATCTGCTTTATTGCTTTATTCCTTGTATGATTGTTCACCCACACACTACACACACACGTGCTTCATATATGCCAATAAGCAAGTACTCTTAAAAGCAAGCACTTAGAGCTGTACAGCCATTTTCAGCACTCAGAATGTATCGATTGAGGATTTATACTGCCACTAATGCTGACACTCATCTCATCATTTTGTTTGTGGAGATGGCAGAGGCAATCTTTTTAGCATGCACAGCAACATTAATATACACTGAATATTTTAAGAAGTGGCAATAAAAGGATGCAAAGCCGAGCAGATTATCAACATGGATATAAATCACAGATGAATGGGATTGTGATGTGACAGATGAATGTGTCTAATCAGAGAATACACAAGTTTTCACTTCAGGAGTACCGAGGCTGCTGGGTTATTCATCCAAGGCCATACTAGGCTTTTGAACAGGTAATATTTTTTATTACCCAAGAAAGACACATGTAGGATGCTGAAATCAATTAGAAAAAAATAACCACTCGGATTACACCTTTACTAATTTTACAATACTTGGCTCTCATTGTGACAACCATCATGCTGTCAGTTTGTAAGAGAGTGGGACTAATATTTAATGAAGAGTCATTTTGAACCTAGGTGTGCCAGATTTTATTGTTTTGGATTGAGCTCTGCTCGGTGTTAAGACACCCTTTAGTGAATCAAGCCCTAAAAACTAAAGACTCGATCACAACCTAACACTCGCCTCTGCTCACGCCCCTCTTCTGCATGCTGTACACAGAGGACACACACCAACAACACATTGCACGGGGTTTCTAATAAAAGAAAAGACCACCAGAGGTCTTTCTGCACGCGTTTCTAAAATGAGCTCTCTTTAAGCAACAGGTGTCAACGGTAACCCACTTTCAGTCATGGAGTCTATCAGGTTTCAAAGGTAGAGGTGAATGCCACACCTTTAACCACAAACATAAGGTATCTGTACATTCTGAATGTTAGCCTCTTGTACTACTCGTGATCCATGATGTGAGAGTTCAAGAGACAGACTCGGTTTGACATAAAAGTGGAGGCGGAATTTAGGTCACTGAGACAGAGAGAGAGAGAGAGAGAAAGAGAGAGAGAGAGAGACAGAGAGAGAGAGAGAGAGAGAGAGAGAGAGGCCTGATAATTTCATTCATTACTATCCAGCTTGTTTTCTTTAGAAGGAAATGATCAGGGATATTATTATGAAAGCAGCAATTGGAACAAGCTCATATAGATTAATTAGGGATTTGGTTTATATAAATACTATGATATTACAAAAAATAAAAAGTTCAAGGCTGCATTTGATTAACTACGGTAACTTTATCGTCTGCTTTTCTTGTTGTATTTTACAGTCATACAGTCATTAGAGTCTCTTTGGGTAAAAATAGGAAATGTCTGAACACAATAAGCTGAATATTTTAAAACACATCTGCAGTATAATCATCACACCTAATATGGCTGCATCACACTCATGCTACTGCTCTATGTGCATCTGAATTGCCCCCAGGGGAAAAATTAAGTTTTTTAAATTAGAATTTGAACCCTGGGTAAAAAAAACAAACAACTGATGAGATTAAATAAGCTATCAGATTTAAATATGAGTCCCACATCTTCTGGATCCACATCAATTATTGGCAGCCTTGGTCCGATCAATACTGAGCTGACAGCAGTCTATAAGGACATTCAAGTCAAGGAAATGACATTATTATTCAGCAGTGGTTCAAAATGCTTCAAACAAAGAATGAGATGTCACTGATACTTTGTGCCAGCTCATGTAGTGCTTTATAAGTCAGGGTTAGCACTTTAAAATCAGTCATGTGGTTAACGGAGACTAAGTGGCGCGAGCTGGTGAGGATACTTGACGTTGTATTGAAAGACGAATGGTGTGGTAGGTTAGAAAATCTAAATAAACAAGCCTTGAGGATATTAAGCCATGAATCCATCCAAGTTTATCATATTGAAAATAATGAGTTGATTCTGGGTACATTACAGAGTTGAAAGCTATCTTAAATGCCCAACAACTCATTTCAGCCTAGTAAAAATATAAATAAATATTTGTTTTAATAGGTGATTTCCTCTAGATATGTATTTTTTTTAGATATTTACCCTAGACAAGTAATGTGTATTTGAGTAGTGTGTGTGTGTGTGTGTGTGTGTGTGTGTGTGTGTGTGTGTGTGTGTGTTCCCTGTTAGACGCCTTGTTCAAAGGTTGCTGACATTTTCAGAGCTGTGTTTCCATTAGTGATCATCATGTGGCTGAGAACATGATGTACCTTTGATAACATTCATTCATGGTCCATATGATTGTACGTGCCCCGACCACGTGGAGCACACTTGTATCATATGACTGTTCTAAATGGTATTACATAAATACATGAATTAACCACTAACACTGGCTGATGTTGTCCTGTACCAGATGTTTCGATATCAGTGTACATGGATTTGCGGTTCGTGTAATTATGACACCAGTTTTTACAGAACATAAAATTTGGAAACAATGATGATACAATAAGATATGATGTCAGTATAACACATTTCAGCTTACAATACTCTCAGCATTGACTGCAGCACATGTAGCATGATACCACAACTACGCTGATGTTGGTTTATACTAGATCTAGCTGACAATATGAATTATTTTTAATAAATGTATTTCTTATAGAGACCCCCTGAGTATATTTACATAAAGATATTCATGCACAATGCAAAAAGAAACGTTTTACTTTCATTTTAGCTTCAACATTTACCATATCTGCCATATTGATTATCGGTGAAACCCCCCTTCTAGATCTGAATTGGTCTCAAAAATTGCATTTGGTCAGGCTCTTTAAAACAAAGAGACACCATTTATCTTTTTAAAACCTGACTGATTTTAATGCTGACCCTGAATTGTGAGCTGCACCAATTCCAAATCACACCAATGAGTCACACTTGCACTATGTAGGACAGACTGTACAGTTCACTTCACAAGTAGGATTGAAACACAGGGCACGGGGCCCAAGTTTGCACAAAAAGCCCTCACTTAGGTGCAACTTCCACCATCCTGTCAGTTTCCCTCTGCTCCAACTTCTGCTCCTTATCTCACTGCAGCTTTCCTCTAACTATAACACTTTTTATGTTCCCTTCTTCTCAGTTTCTTCCTGTTCCGGCCTCTCCCTTTCCCTTTGACGAACATTTCCTGTAAGTCCCAACCTTTTCTCTCAAAGCTATGGTTAATTACTTTCTATTGCTTCAGTGTTATTGTTTCACGCCTGTTTTTCTGTGCGCTATCTGCACATTCTGTCTGGTGTGGGTATGTCTTCTCAGAGGCAGAAAATCGGCTCAATCTTTAGATCTGTTTCTTTTTTTCTGTCTTTTTCGCTCTCTACTGCTTCTAGTTATCACAAAGTTAGTTCTTCTATCCTCCCTCACTCTTTTTTCTATCTTGCACATCTGTCTCCCTCTCCTCCCTCCCTGGTTTGAGTTTTCCATCCATGTAAGCACATTCCAGTCTGTGGACAGGGCCGTGCTCCCACAGTAAGAGCAGGTTCCTACAGCCAAATGGAGAATAACTGCAAAGTGCTGACGAACTCTTTGGCTTGATACCGCACGGAATAAGCAGAAAAAAGCACAGCAGTCACAGGTTTTCAGTTTGTGTGCATGTGACAGTCTTTT